GGTATCTAGATGATATATTTACAGTAGTGAGATCACAGTCAGCAGCTGACCTATTCTACAGCTGGATTAATACATTACACAAACACATGAAATTTACACACCACTGTAGCCCTACTAATGTTAACTTTTTGGATGTCATGGTTTTCAAAAATGGTCAGAAACTACTAGTGAAAAATTATAGTAAACCTACAGATAAGAATTCTTTTTTACATTTTTCCAGCTTTCATCACTTTTCTCTTAAATCCAATTTACCATTTTCTCAGTTTCTAAGACTGAAACGTAATTCTAGCACACAAAAGGACTTTGAATTTATGGCAGGTATCCTGAAAAAACAACTCAGAGAGAGAGGATACCCTAATAGGATACTCAACACAGCCATGAGCAAGGCAAACTCCATCAACAGAGGGGAATTACTACAGGAACGTCCTAGAAAACATAACAACCGCATAATATGGCCCTTGACATTGACACAAAATTCATCCAAAATCACTAGGATTATTTCAAAACACTGGCATTTACTACAGGACATTCCTGGATGCAAAGACAAACCTATTATTGCCCACAAAAGATCCAGAAATTTAAGGGACCTCATGATCCACTCTGAATATAACTCTTCCAGTACATCTCATGAACCCACCACTAGGGGGCACACTAGCTGTGGACATTGTAACTGCTGCCAACAATCACTTAAGAGTAAAATATACTCTCACCCTACACTCAATATCAAGGTCACATTACAACATTTGACAACATGTTCCAGTGATAATGTAGTATATCTATTAGAATGCCCCTGCAAATTATTATATGTGGGTATAACTACTAGACCCCTTAAAATTAGGATAAATGAACATCGGTCACGCATAAGGAATGGGTCCACTGACTCTTCATTATATGTACATTTTAATGAAAAAGCACATACACACCATAGTTTTAAATTTTGCGCTTTGGAAAAAATATTACCCAGACCAAATGCGGATGTAAAAAAACTCCTTCTGCAAAGGGAATCTTATTGGATCTTTAAACTACAAACACTGGTTCCTCTAGGACTAAATGACAAAATTGAATACACTTGTTTCTTGTGAGATGTAATTCTACTTAAGTGTTAGCCAATCCTTACCTCATTGCTCGTTATAGAACTCCTACTATTACAGAGCCTGTATTGCTGAAGAGAATGTAAGTAGGGTAGCGTGTTTCTTTACTGTTATTACTAAATGTTTCTCTAACAATGTTATTTTGGGAGTTTCATGTATCTATTGTGTATGTTATTTCTTCTCCCTATTTAGTGCACTAAGCATAATATTATAACAGACTACACCCTGAGGAAGATATTTGTTCGAAACAAGGATAACAAACCGGAAGACCTTGTTGATTTTGTTGCCTATGAAAGATTGTGTTACCTAAGAAGAATTCCTTGAGACTGAGATTTTGTTGCCTAAGAAAGACTGTGTTGCTTAAAGAAGAATTCCTTGAGACTGTCTTGCCAAAAGAAGAATTCTTTTGAAGATAAAGATAGAGACCTTTTGAATTTCTTCACTGAAAGGATGGACTTTATTACCTTTAGTCTGTTGTGTATTTCTCTATGTTAATGTGCTGATAACAATTTTGTTTTATGTATAAATTCTCAGACAAGTTATACTAATAGAGAACACAGAATACTGCTGTATATTACTGTCTTGAGAGTCTATTTAGATTTACATACATATATTTCTGTTCTAGCCCACAATAATTTCCCAGGGTGCAAAGGGATGTGTTTGTAAGAATGGATAAAATAAACCATGGATACTGACACCACAGATAAGGGGATTGTACTGTACGCTGCGCTCTAAGAAGAGCATCCCTTAAGATTTACAGTATACTTCAGCTGTGATGTTAGGTAAATGTTTTCCCCTGACATTAAGTCCAGTCATGTCCGACTCTGAGGGTTGGTGCTCATCTCCATTTCTAAGCCAAAGAGCCAATGTTGTCCCTAGATACCTCCAAGGTCATGTGGCGGGTATGACTGCATTACCTTCCCGCCATTACCTTATTGATCTCACATTTGCATGTTTTCGAACTGCTAGGCTGATGGAAGCTGGGGCTAACAGCAGGAGCTCACACCGCTCTCCGGATTCAAACCTGCAACCTTTCAGTGGCTCAGCAGTTTAACCCACTGCACCACTGGGTGCTGTGATGTTACTACCATCATTATAATGACAGGGCTTGATGTATAAATTCCTTCATGCTAGAAATCTTCATCTAGTTGAACCTGCATTCTCTAACAAGGAGAGGGGGATTTCAGGAAGGATATCAATGCAGTGATGAATCGACTCCCAAGTCTTAGTCTGAATTATAAAGAAGCTATCCAAAGTGCTGAATCATACCCTAAAAGAGGTTCGGCACAATGATAGCTTTGCTGTCCCACTGAGATGGAAGCTAATGTACATATTTCAGCATGGCATTATTCTTATGACATTATATCCCCTCATTCAGATGTCTCCCCAAGTTGAAGTCTACTTGATGGCACTTAACAACAACTAAACTTCAGGTGGGTTGTTGTTGTTGTTAAGTGCCATCAAATTAACTTTAACTTGGGGAGACCCTCTGAATGAGGGGATACCATGTAATAACAGAAATGAAAGCTTATGCAAAGCACATTTAAAAACTGAGAGGGGGGAAGTAGTTTCTGTTTCTAATTGCAGTACAAATAGGGGTTGAGTATGCCTTGCGTGAAATGCTTTGGACCAGAGGTGCTTTTGATTTCAGATTTTGGAATATTTAAGGTAAAGGTTTTCCCCTGACATTAAGTCCAGTCGTGTCCGACTCTGGGGGTTGGTGCTCATCTCCATTTCTAAGCCAAAGAGCTGGCATTGTCTGTAGACACCTCCAAGGTCATGTGGCCAGCATGACTCCATGGAACTCAGTTATCTTTCTGCCTGAGCAGTACCTATTGATCTACTAACATTTACATGTTTTAGAACTGCTAGGTTGGCAGAAAATGGGGCTAACAGGAGGAGCTCACACTGCTACCCGGACTCAAACCTGTGACCCTTTGGTCATCAAGTTCAGTAGCTCAGCAGTTTAACCCACTGCACCACCGAGGGCTCATATACATAATATCTTGGAGATGAGGACAAAGTCTAAGTGCAAAATTCATGTATATACACACCTTCGACACATAGCCCGATTGTAATTTTATACACCATATTTTTAATATTTTGGTGCATGAAACAAATGTTATGTTTATTGAACTATCAGACAAAGGTGACGCTATCTCAGTCAGACACACTTTGCTACTCTGCTGCTGAATATGCATGCTCAGTGTGGAATACATCTCACCATGCTAAAACAGTGGATGTGGCTCTTAATGAGACATGCCGCATTATCAGAGAATGTCTTCGCACAACACAGCTGACGAAATCATGCTGTTTAGCCGGCATTGCACCACCTGACATCCGCTGGGAAGTAGCAGCCAATAAGGTAAGGGCCAAGACAGTGACATATCTGGCCCATCCTCTGTTTGGATATCAGTCAGCATGTCAATGACTTAAATCAAGAAAAAGCTTCTTAAGATCTACAGAGATACTCGCAGGAACACCTCAGAAAGCAAGAGTCCAAAAGTGGCAGGTTAAAATCTGGAAAATCAATCAATGGCTCAGGAGGGAGGGAGACTCCCTCCTGAGCACACAGAAGTCTTGGCAACTTGGAAGGCATTGGACAGACTGCACTCTGGCACCACAAAATGCAGAGCCAATCTTAAGAAATGGGGCGACAAAGTGGAATCCACGACATGCGAGTGTGGAGAAGAGCAAACCACTGACCACCTGCTGCAAGGAGGGGGGGCCTTGAGGGGCTTCAGCCCCCCCCCCCCCCGAAATTCTCATGGTGGTTTGCAAAAAGGCCTTACTGGTGCATTATTTAAACTGTTATGTTTATTCATATCATGATCTGATCACCATACTCAATATATCCCATATGCATGGGGGTATTGGGGTAATGATACAAAAGGTTTGCTAGGATAGACCCTCTTTCACTCAGATCAGCCCCCCCCCCCGAATCAAAATCCTGGCTACGGGCCTGCCATGGATCACCTACTACAATGCAGTCTAAGCCCTGCCACATGCACAAAGGATGACCTTTTTGGAGCGACACCAGAGGCACTCCAAGTGGCAACTTCTGGTCAAAGGAAGTAAGGTATAATGCCAATTTTTTAAACTTTGTTTGTGGTCTTTATATATTGTAACTGTGATCTCAATTTGCTTTCTGACACGATAAATAAATAAATAAGTCAGACACCATACAATTTTGGAGAACTGTTTTGGAATTCGGAATGAGGGATGCTCAACCTGTACACTAAATCCAGCTGCTTTGAACAGAAGTATGCTCGCCAGACTTGGATTCTGGCTTTTCCTTCCAACTAAAACAGGGTGTCATGAATTTTGCTCAGTTCGACAAAACCTGCTGGGACTCACATGCCAGTAACAGCCCTGTTCTTTCCTTTTTCCCCCAATCCCATCTGACTTTGCCAAACCAGGGAGTGAGTGTGTGGAGGGGAGGAGGGAGAGATGAGACCCTGTAGCTTTAATAACGCCACCGAGGTTTTAAAGGCTTCCTTCCAAACTTGGTGTTTGGACGTTTGCATGAGTGAAGGAACTGGTGGCTTAACTGGAGAGGGCGAGAGGGCGAGAGAGAGAGAGAGAGAGAGAGAAGGGGAGAAGGGAGAAAAGAGACAGAGACGGGGAAAAGGGAGAAGAGAGAGCGACGAGGAGAAGATTGAGAGAGAGAGACGGGGAAAAGGGAGAAGAGAGAGACGAAGGAAGGAAGGAGGAAGAAGGAAGGAAGGAAGGAAGGAAGGAAGGAAGGAAGGAAGGAAGGAAGGAAGGAAAGAGGTAGAGAAGGAAGGAAGGAGAGAAAGAGGAAAAGAAAAAGGGGGGAATGAAAGAAAGGGGTAGAGAGAGAGAGAGAGGAAGAAGAAGCGAGGCGGGAGGAGGGGAGAGAGAGAAGGAAGGAAGGAGAGAAAGGGGGGAGAAGAGGGGGAGGAGGGGGGAGAGAGAAGGAAGGAGAGAGAGAGATCCTAGGGCCAAAAGCCAAACTCCGGCGTTAGCACCAATCCAGATGTAGACGAGGAAAAGAGTAGGAGCCGCGCCAGGCAGCCAGGTCTAGATCGATTGTAGCTCGACTCTTGGACGGAGGCGTCCTCTCTCTGTGTTTGGGCTGCCAAAGAGAAGAGAGGTGGGAGGAGGAGGGGAAAGGTGGATGGGGAGGCTGCAGGGGACGCCTCCCCCTCCTCCGCCTTGAGCTCGCCTCCTGCCTCTTCCCTTTCCGCGAACTCTTCCCTCGGGTGGGCTTCCCCGATGCCTCCCGGGCGGGCTTGATCCTCGGGGCTTTAGAGCCTCCTCTTCGCCCTCCTCCTCGTCCTCGTCCTCGTCCTGGGCTCGGGATGCTTCTCCCGCTCCTCCTCGTCCGCGCGGCGTGGCTGCTGGGCTGCTGGTGCGGCTCGTGCCGGGGCTACTTCGACGGGCCGCTCTACCCGGAGATGTCCAACGGGACGCTGCACCACTACTTCGTGCCGGACGGCGACTACGAAGAGAACGACGACCCGGAGAAGTGCCAGCTGCTCTTCCGGGTGAGCGACCGGCTGCGCTGCGCGGGGCTGGAGTCCGGGGCGGCGCGAGGCCCCTCCGCAAGCCTGCCCGTGCCCGCCGCCCCGGCGCTGACGCTGCGCGAGGAGTTCACGCTGCTGGGCCGGCAGGCGGAGGACGCGGCGCGCGTGCTGGAGGGCCTGCGCAAGAGCATCTCCTACGACCTGGACGGCGAGGAGAGCTACGGCAAGTACCTGCGGCGGGAGTCGGCCCAGATCGGCGAGGCCTACGCCAACTCGGACAAGTCCCTGGGCGAGCTGGAGCACAAGTTCCGGCAGGGCCAGGAGCAGGAGCGCGAGGGCGGCGGGGCGCGCCCCGGGGAGGACTTCCTGGCCAAGGTGGCCACCGCGCGGGCCCTGCTCGCCGAGACGCTGGCCCTCTCCGCCGGCCTCCGAGACAAGTACGAGCTGCTCGCCCTCGCCGTCCGCAGCCACGGCGCCCGGCTCAGCCGACTCCGCGGGCAGCACCTCCAAGGGTGAGGAACAGCCTCCAAGGAGACGCACGCCTCATGCGCTTCGAAGCCGGCTTCAAACCGCCGCCGCCGGGCTGCAGATTCTTCCCTCCTGCGCTTCTGTGCTCTGCCGTTTGTGTCATCGCCATCCGGGCCTCCGGGAGATTCCATGTCATCACCTGCACAGCCAAACCCACCCTGGACCTTCCACAGATATATAAACCCCATTTTCCCAGTTTCCAACAGACCTCACAACCTCTGAGGATGCCTGCCATAGATGCAGGAGAAACGTCAGGAGAGAATGCTTCGGGAACATGGTCATAAAACTTACAGCAAACCCAGTCTTCTGTACCAGTTTAAAACTTCTAAGTGGGTGGCCAAGGAAAGTGGTCATGGAAAGGGCCAATCTGCTAGGTGCACTCTGTCCTATCTATCATCACCATCTGGGCCTCCAACCGATTCCATGTCATCATCTGCACAGCCAAACCGCTTGTCTTCCCTATTGTTAAGTGGGTGGCCAAGGAAAGGGGCAATTTTCCTTCCACCTTCACCCCAAGCAGACCCCAATTCACCCTTTGGTCAGCCAAGCAGATGCTCGCCTCTGCTGCCTGCACAGGTGGACCATCAGGCAGCCAGTTGAACACCCTCAACTTGTTCCTGCTCCTTGATTCCTTCTCATTTAGGCTGTATCCCAGGCATGTGCCAACTCGGGCCCTCGGGCCCCTCCCTTTCCCCCCTCAGCCACTTAAGTGAGGAGGAGCAGGAGGAGGAGAAGGCACTTAGCTTAAGCAGCTGAGGGGGGAAAGGAAGGGGCCTGAGGCTGTTAGGAGTGGTGGGAGTTGAAGCCCAAAACACCTGTAGAGTCCAAGTTTGTCCATGCCTGCTGAATCCACACCACAGAATTGATACCACATGAAGAGCCATGGCTGGGGTCTGTAGTTTTTGTGAGGTGTGTCTCCATCTCTGGTTGCATCTACCAGTTGGGTACCACTTTCACTGCCATTTCTATGCTATGGAATCATGAGAGTTGTCCTCTTACGTGGTCTTTAGCCTTCTCTACCAAGAGTGTTGGTCCCTCATTAAGCTACAGTTCCCATGATTCCATAGCATTGAGCCATGGCAGTTAAAGGGTGTCAAACTGCACCAATTCCAAGGAATAGATATATACCCCGTGTCTGTCTGGTCCCTGAACAAGCAAGTCCCAGGATTCCATAGGATGGTGCCATGGCCATTAAAATGGTGTCAGATTGCTATGATTGTGTAATATGGCCAATCTCAATTCAGTATCATCCACCCGTGCCTTTATTCAGGATTCAGATTATGTGAAAAAACTACTAAATGGCAATGAGCTGGTTTAATCTTCCAAAACAAATAACCCCTGAAGCCGTCCTTTCTGTTCAAATATCCATCTGGAGTTGGCTTGTTGTTGGTTTTCAAAGAACAAGAAAAAAGGAAAGGGTGTTGCTTTTTATCCCATTTTCTAGCACATGCAAATGTAAAAAGGTGACTAGTCTCTGCCGGTCGAAAGGTTTGCTTGTTGGATCTCTCACACAGATGTTTAAAACCCATGAACTTCTTGTGATCTCATGGTGCCAGCCATGCTTCATCATGTTCATCCTCAGCTTGGAAAATAAAATATATAGAGGGGGGAAAGAAAGAATTACACCAAAAATAACATAACATTGCAAGTCCTATGTGGCCCTCCAAATGTTGTGGGACTGCATTACCCATCATTTCTAAACAGCCAATGGAGAAGGATGTTATAACCCAAGAATTGCTGGCAGTCTATATACTTGGTGCTTCTCAGAGACTCCCATTGAACTCAGTGGTTCTTATTGGGTAGATATGTACATGGTTTATATTGTATACTACTAAATGCCTGGAACATCATTCATTGTTATGCCCATTTTCTCAATGTACATACAGAGTTGTGGTGATGTCAGCAGCTCACCCTGTCCTCCACCCACGAGCAGATACATGGGCAGTATATTTTTCCAAACATTTTATTACTAGTAAGCATATTTATATCATTAACTAGCCCTTGTATTCAGAGTTTAGCAGAGTTGGGCACACTTAAGCCCACTGAATTAACTTGATGCTGGATTGTGGTCAGTAAGTCTGAGAAGTGACTCACTTCAGCCAAAAGAGAAAATACGTGATAACAGCTTTTGGGAGTTACTGTCTCCTCTTTTCCCATTGTAGAGATGTGGAATTTCTAAGACAATTCAGTTTTTCAAAAATGTAACTATTAATAATTTAAATGGGGTTGGTTTTGTTCATTCACAATAAACTGTTAAGCTTGGCCATTATTTGATCTAAATTTAATCTAAGTTGCTGAGTTCATGTGACTCATTCCTTGCTTGCAATGAGTTCCAATAACTGACAAAGAAATTAAAAAATGGTAGTGTTATTTAATTGATGCAGGGCCTCAAGAGAACCAAAAGGGTAACACTTTCCTTATGTTTCATGTGTGTTTATGAGGGAAGTGAGAATTCACACACTCCTAAAACATTGTCTGGAATGAGAAAATGGTAGCTATGAACTTGGCAATGTTCAAGAAATGCTCTAGATGACCTTGTAACAATATTTTCCTTCTTTTCTTCCATATTTTTCCCCTAGGAATGTATCTATACTGTAGAATTAACACTTAGACACCATTTGAGCTGCTGTGGCTCGTTGATATGAAATCATGGGAGTTTCAATCTTTACTCTTGTCTGTCAAAGAATGCTGTTGCCTCACCAAACTACAACCCCAAAGATTCCATAGCACTGTGTCATAGTAGTTAAAATGCTGTCAAACTGCATTCCTTCTACATTGTGAATGTACATTAATTCTACAGTGTGGAGCAGGCATGGGCAAACTTCAGCCCTCCTGGCAGGGCTGTAACCAGAAGGGGCAGTATAAAAGTTCAACTCTGCCCTGAAATAATGTGTCAGGTTAAAAAAGAAACCTGGTTTACTCATAAATTGGTTAACCATATAAATTCATGAGTAAACCAAGTTTCGGGGGGGGGGGGTAGAACTCTTTCTGGTGGGTAGAACCCTTAACCCTCCCCCTCCCCCCAGCTATGGCCCTGCCTCTGGGTGTTTGGACTTCAACTCCCAGAAATCCCAGCCAGCTGATAGAAATTGTGGGAGTTGAAATCCTGGAGGGCCAAAGCTTGCCCATGCCTGGTGTAGAGTCTCAGCCACTGCAGATTACTCCATCTTGTATTAATGACACAGATTTCAACTGTATGTCATCAATAAGCACATAGTCACCTGCAGCCAGTCACCATTTCATATAACCACAAAACCTTCAGTTTGCATGAAAAATACAGCTTTGAGTTTTGTGTATCCCTGGCAGCATGGATCTAGATTTCAAAATGAAGTATAACTGTTAGGACGGTGAATATTTGATATGAAAGGGCCAGTTGCATGAGCCAAATGAATTTGTATCATGGGATTATAAAAAAATAAGAAGCAGTTGTTACCAAGATACAAAACCCTGAGGCCTCTATAGAAAACAGTGCTAGACTTGAAGCAAGAACTACCATCTTCCCTCTGCCTTCCCTCTGCAAGAATTGTTTTAAATACCATAGTTGGAAGCTACTGTTTAGTGTAGCTTGGCTCCCTCCAGGATATAAATTTCCTGCCCATTGGGAGAGCGCCCAGCTGGATTGCCAGCAACAACAGGAGACTGCAGTTGGATCTGTTCTTCCCTTCGGATTAGGACTGCCAGAACTCAAAACTTAAAGCTGCAGGGCACTTCCCAGCCATGGTGCCCATTGAGTTCTGTTGGAGTTGCAGCATTTTAACATTACATTTGTGAAAGTAAATATGAATGTACCCTCCCTGTCAATAAAAATAAGTTTCTGGTTATGGTAATACAGGATGAGAACAATATCCAAGACTTTAAGGCAGGGTGAGAATCCAGATGTCATTGCAATTTCCAGAAGCTTTAGACAGCATGGCCAGTGGCAAGCAGTGATAGAAATTTTAGTCCTACATTTGGTCAACTCTAGCCCATTCTGCTTTAGAAACAGAGTAGAATTGTGATCTCAGTCCATGAAACCTGTTGCTTGATTCCACTGCATTAGACATCTCATGCCCAGATTTGAAAAAGTGTTCTGCCTTTCCAAAGATCTGATTGAACATGGAATTAAAAGAAGAGCAGGTGAAACAAGACAAAAAAAACCATGCATTCAGGACAGTTGTGGAATTGGATCTGCCTTCCAGATGTTATATTGTAACACTCTGTATCACTGACTACTATAATCAATGGTGAGAAATGAGAATTGTCCAAAAATATAGGAAGGAAGGGGGAAAATTCCTACCTTGATCAAGGAAGAAACACTGGGCAGAAACCTTCTCTCTGTGTCCTAGTTTGCAGCTGCCTGAGGCCAAGAGAAACATAAGTTCCCAACAGTCAGTTGGCTCCAAGGGAAAGTAGATTTCATTACATTCACATTGCTAAAAAACTGTTTTTCTTTTTAGCTTGTATCATTGCCACCCTTTGTTGCTTTTCTGCAATATTAATGCTTCTGTGTTATTGTTTTTAGTGTCATGAAACCAACTCTAAACAATATGTGATTTCTGAAGCTTCGGTGGCTGTGGTACAGATCTACAGAGCTGGGGTATTTGGACATGACACAGTCTTCAGAAAGAGTTCATCTACATTGCAGAATTAATACTATTTGGCACCATTTGAATTGCCATGGTTCAATGCTATGAAATCCTAGGAATTGTAGTTTAGTGAGACTCTGTAGGACAGTAGTTCTCAATCTGTGGGCCCCCAAATGTTTTGGCCTTCAACTCCCAGAAATCCTAACAGCTGGTAAACTGGCTGGGATTTCTGGGAGTTGTAGGCCAAAACACCTGGGGACCCAAGTTGAGAACCACTGCTATAGGAGATCATACTAAAGATCTTGCAAAACTACAACTCCAAGGAGTCCATAGCATTGTGCCTGACTGTTAAAGTGTTGTCAAATTGCATTAATTCTACAGTGTAGGTGCACCCTAAGAAAGTTAAGGCTACAAACCCCAAGCTTGATTCCTTTGGAGTAAAATGGAGTCAATATAATGTGCTTCTTACTTCTGATTAACCACACATAGCGAAGTGCTCTAAATCTTATAGTCTTCTCTTCTAAGTACATCACAATTCTTGGCTGTTCTTGCATCCTTTCCTTCTCATGGCAAATTTTGGCCCTTCAGATATAGTTGACTACACTCTCAATATTCCCTTACTATTAGCCATCTGGTTGGTGTTGGTAGGAGTTACAGATCAAAACACCCAAAGGCCAAAGGTTTCCCAACTTTGTGTAAGTACCTTGTATTGTTGCCCTTGACTTGTTTATTTTTTTTAATGACTGGTGCATATAGTACCATATAACAAAATCTTGGAACATCTGGTGACCAACTGACATCATGATCCTAGACATATCTATTCAAACTTAAATCCCAGTGAATTTTATTTTTGCACAGATGTTTATAGGATAGTTCTGTAAAGCGATCTATTCTGTATTTCTATAAATTAGAAATTGATTGATTTTCCTTCCATCATGATTAAATGGACTGTCATTAACATACTGACTCGTGTCTTTCTGTAATTTGTAATGAAGTACTTCAAGATTGACCCCAAAAAACCTTGTTATCCCCTTTTGAGAAAAAGGCTAAGCATTATTCATGCTTGACATTGGGAATGTGTGCAGGTTGTGCATTGTTTAGTATATCAGTCTGTAAGAAACACCTAGAAGTATTCCAACATGGTTTCCCAAATATCATCTTCTTTATGTATTTGAAAATTTGTAAATAAGTATATAATTCCTTGAGCATCTTACTATCCTAGTTGTACTAGTTTGTGAGAATGGTTTCCAATTATAAGACATGGTCTTTTTGTACCCTCAGCTGTCCTTGCTGGAAATCAACAAGAGGTGTAAACTTTCAATAAAACATAATCCATAGGCATTGAGATATCAGTGACCATAGAAAC